CATATATAGAAAACTGGGAGAAGATCTAAGATGGAGGAACCAGTCACCCAGCTACATAGCAAGCTACACAGTAAGAGTAACATTACAGAAGTTAGAGAATGGGAAAAGCCCAGAGGAAAAGGGTAGACGGGATAATTTAAGACAAGGAAAGCTGACTAGAAACTAGGCCAACCTAAGGCCAGGTATTCATAATTAAGAATAAGCTTCTGTGTGATTTATTTAGGAGCTGGATGGTGGGCCCCCCAAAATGATCTAAAATCTCCAACAACACAGAACAAAACCCCAGTATGTAGGCCAGACCGAGAAAGACATGACATAACCTGTTTCTTAGGAGTCTCAGGTTGGAGAAGGCTGACTTGGCAATTGAGCAAGATGCTATCTCAAAACAAAGTGAAACAGGGGCCTGGAGAGATGGCTTATTGGTCAAAGAGCATTGGCTACTCTGACAACGACCTCGGTTTGATTCTCAGTACCCACACAGTGGCTGACAGCCATGTGGACCTCCCTCCAATTCCAGGGAATCCCTCGTGGGTATATGCACTTATCAGGTGCACAGACACATGCAGACAAAACAACCAGACACATTTTTAAAAAGCAAATGTATTTGGGATGGGGGTGGGGAGTCAGCACCTGGTGCATACCTTTAATACTAGCCTGGAATTATTTAATCCCTCTAATGAACGAGGATTTTTGAGTTGGAGGCCAGTTTGATCTACACTGCAAGTTTGGGATAGAGCATTAGCCTAGCATATGTAAGAATCTGTATTCAATTCCTACTACCAGGAGAAATAAAAGAGAATCAAAGAGTAATAAAACACATAATCACAAAACAGAGCCAGAGGCAGACGCATGACGCTCTACAAGTATGGAGGGATTGACACAAACAATTATCTTTCTAAATAATGTTCAATGGGACTACAGCCGGCTCAGCGGTTCAGAGCTCTGACTGCTCTTATAGAGGACACAAATCCTATGTCCAGCACCTATGGAAATAACCTTCTGCAACTTTAGTTGCAGGAATTCCATGCCCCCCTCCCCCGCCTTTCCCTGCCCTCCTTAGCTACTGCACTCAACACAATTAAAATTAAGAAATAAAATCTGGCCGGGCGGCGTTGGCACACGCCTTTAATCCCAGCACTTGGGAAGCAGAGCCAGGCGGATCTCTGTGAGTTCAAAGCCAGCCTGGTCTACAGAACAAGATCTAGGACAGGCACCAAAACTACACAGCCCTGTCTTGAAAAACCAAAAAGATATAAAATCTGACATGCATTTAGCTTTTCAGCCACAAATCAGAATAGCCCCTTCATCATAAACAAAATGTAATATAGCCACCGGGCGGTGGTGGCTCACGCCTTTAATCCCAGCACTCGGGAGGCAGAGGCAGGTGGATCTCTGTGAGTTCGAGGCCAGCCTGGGCTACCAAGTGAGTTCCAGGAAAGGCGCAAAGCTACACAGAGAAACCCTGTCTCGAAAAACAAAAAACAAAACAAAACAAAAAAATGTAATACAGCCAACCAAAAACCATGACAATTAGATTAAAAAGAGAAAACGGGCTGGAGAGATGGCTCAGCAGTTAAGAGCACTTGCTGCTTTTTGAAGGACCTGGGTTTTATTTCCCAGCATCCATCAGGCAGCTCACAACCACTTGTAACTCTAGCTCCAGGGGATTTGACACCCTCTTCTGGCCTCCAAGTATACCTGCATCCACATAGTACATATATGTAAGCTTACAAACACACACATACCCATAAAGAAATAAACTAAAATCAAAAACAGACCTAAAAAAAAAAAAAACCCATAAAATATAGCAGTGTATCATATTTCCTTTCAATTAGATCTCTGGAAGGACTTCAAAGTAGTAACAGGATTCCTACCTGAGAGATGCTATTAACTCCATGCTTTTTCAAAAGCTTTTTATAGAAACATTCTGTCTGTTCAGGTGATTCACAGTCATCTTTAGTAAACAAACAGACTTCTGATGAATCTGATAGAATACTATGAGGCAAAGCCCTGTAAAACACGACAAAAGACAAGGAACAAAGCATTATTCCAGAGAATGTGTATTATCCAAAACATACACATTTTCATTTAAAATGTTTGGGGGGGGGTGTGTGCCTCGGCACGTATGTGGGTTCAGAGGACAACGTTCTGGAACTGGTTCTCCCCTTCTACCACGTGCACCAAGAGATCTGAACTCCAGTCACTAAGCCTGGTGTCATGCATCTTTACCTGAACCACTCTGTCAGCCCCATTTAGCCACACTTTGATTTTTTTCCTACTTAGCAAATATTGCTCTGAATAAAAGCAAGTTAAGTGTGGTGATGGTATGCCCATAATTCAAGCTTTAAGAGACAGAGGAAGGAATGCCAAAAATACCAGGCTAGGCCCCCCCCAAAATCAATTTAAGACAGGTAAGGGATGAACAGAGAAAAAAGGACCTCCCGTAAGTGACAGAAATCGCCAATGTGAAAAATTGAGCAAAGATATGGGAATAAAGGATGCAAATAGAGGGCTGGGAATGTAGCTCACTGGTAGAGCAGTTACCTAGCACAGGAAAGACCTTGGTTCCATGCCCCAGGGAGATAGCTTAAAGTATTTACTGTACAAACAAGGATCCATGTTCATCCCCTGAACCACATCAAGGAGAAGCCTGGTGATAAGCACTAGTTATCTCAGGGAAGGTGAATGATTACAGGAGGATCCACGGGGCTCAATGGTCAATAGTCCACCTGGTTGGTGAGCTCCAAGCAAATGAGACCTGCCTAAAAAGGGGGCGGATGATGCTCCCAAGGAAGTCCTCTTGCCTCCATGCTCATGTGCTCATATACCTGAAAACATGTTTACGGACATATGTGTTAAAGCAATGTGGGGGCTGGAGGAATGGCCCAGGGGACCCAAGTTCGGTTCCCAGCACCCACACAGCCCTTCACAACCATCTGTAACTTCAGTTCCAGGGGATCTGATCTTCTTCTGATTCCCACAGGCTCCTGTACACACATAAATATTTGGGAATCAAAAATGTCTTTCCTTTCTAAACCTCCAGGAGCCCTCATTTTTGGAGAAAAACAAGCTATACTCCTACATACTGCTTTGATAAGCACAGCAAGCAGGTTATCACACAATCTATATTGACACTTCGTCAAGTAACAAGTTTCAGAGTGGCCACAAATTATTTTTTCTCAGTAAAAGGCTCTCAAATCTTGTACAGGACCAACTTACATTAACATGTTTATTTGTATTCTTTTTCCTTCTAAATCTGCCAACTCTACATCAGCGGAATCTGACCCAACATAGCTAAGAAGAATATAAATACATATGGGCAGGTTGGATGAATCAGTGGGTAAAGACACATGCTTAATGCCAAGCCTGACAACCAGAGCTCAATTCCAGGACCAACATGGTAGGAGAGGAAATTATATTTATTCTCTGACTTCCACATGTGTGCACCTAACTAAGCCAACCCCCCGCCACAATTAAATGCAACTTAAAAAAATATTTTTATTTATTTAATTTCAAGACACGGTTTCTGTGTAGCCCTGGCTGTCTTGGAACTGAACTGCTCTGTAGACCAGATTGGCTTTGAACTCAGAGATCTGCCTGTCTCTGCCACATCTGGTTCTAAAAATATCTTATAAAAGAATATAGGGAGGTAAAGGAGACAGGGCTCCCAAGCAGGTTCGAGGGCACTCAGCAGTTAAGTGCATTTGCTGCTTTCCCAGATGATCTGATTTCAGTTTTCTGTACTCACACTGGGCTGCTCAAAACTTGTCTCTCCAGTTCCAGGTTATCTGACACCTTCTTTTGGCCTCTGCAAGCACTGGACATAAGTGGTACACATTCACACACAAGGCTGGCCTGGTGATGGACACCTTTAACCCCAGCATTCAAGAGGCAGAGGCAAATTTATTCCTTTGAGGGCCAGGCAAGCCTTTGTAAGGAGACCCCCACCCTCCCAAAAGCAAGAAAAGTCAAAAAATCTAAACAGATAAATTAGAACTTACACTCGGACCCGCACTTCTTTCTCTGGAATTTTCCATAATATCACCATTAGAAACAAATTCTCATTCTCATTCAAAAGTAACTCATTATTCTTTTTTCTTGACTTGGAGTGTGCAAACAGAACTTCCACTGCTTTTCTAATCTGCAGACAGAAATAAGTCAATTTTCTCAATTTAGGCCAACCGTTGCTCCCATGTGTATACACACACACACACACACACACACAAACATATCTGTTTCCTTTGCTCCTCCTTTTACTGGGCAAATATCAATCAGCATATTGGGCTCTTAGAATTTGTACTCAGCGCAATTTAAGAATCCATCAAAAACACCCAAGTCCCTGCTTCTGGGATCTGTTCATAAGGTGTCCTTTCTACTTAAAGAGAACAGGCTGTAACCGATGCTTCCTTCTGCCCTCCCCGAGAGAAGGAACAATCAGGAAAAGCGCACAGTGCTCGGAGGAGTTATTGAGCATCATGTGCCCGGCCCTGAGCACGCTACTTTGCACACGTGCACGTACAAATGTCCTGTAATCCTGCAGAATTGAACGCAGAGGAGCCCCCTTTCAACAGGGAGCAAACAGGCCACAGGCCTGAGGGACGCAAGCCCGCCGCGGTGCGTTTTCAGAGACCTTCTTCGGCCTCCGGGGCGCCCACCCAGTCTCGGGCCCGCTCTGGACTTCCAGGCCATTCGCTTCGCACCCTGTGCCTCACGCGGGCCCTAACAACTCTGCTTCCGGATCGCTGATCCCCAAATCACTCGCCTGCTCTTTGTCCAGATGTTCCAGATCGGCCGGGGTCGCTCGCACGGCGGTCGCCGTGTCGGCCAAGTCCGGGGAAGAGGAGAACGCTGAGGCCTCCATGACTCTGCCTCATGCAGACCCCAGGAGCTAGGAATACCTGCGCACGCGCAGGCCAGAGGCCCGGAACCGGAAACCAAAGGGTAGGGCCAACAAGGCGGGGGGAGTCTCCTGCGTCATTTCCTGAAGGACGCGCTATTCGACACACGGGCTTCCTTCCCGGGTAGTTTTTGGTGAGGACGCCGGCAGCGGCGGGAGTCGCCCCTGAGCCTGCGCCGCTTCTTGCGTCCGGCTCTTCCTAGGGCGCCAGGTCTGTGCAAGCCCTGTCGCTCTTCCACGGAGGACACGGGAGGGAGCCCTGTCCTCAACCCCGTGCCGCCCCCTGAAGAGCTGGAAGCCGTGGCTCCTCCACCCCGTTGTGGCTTCGGGCGTCGTTTTCCCCAAATTGGTGGTGTTCCGGTGAAACACTGAGGAACCGCGAATCCCAGGCGTGTGAGGAACGAAAAGATGAGTCGGTCTCTGAAGCGTCGGCTCAGGTAAGCCCTGGACTACCAGTTGGTGTAAAGGTGGGATAACGCGGAGGGGAATACTCCAGAATGTCTCCTTTCTACTTCTCTCCCTCTCGCAGAGGACACCACCTCCTAGAACCTTCCAGGACTGTTAGAAGCATACTTTATTTTTTTTCCTCTTTACAAATAGATACAATTGAGTTTTCTTTTTAAATTAGGAGTAGTTAAGCCGGGCGGTGGTGGCGCACGCCTTCAATCCCAGCACTCGGGAGGCAGAGCCAGGCAGATCTCCGTGAGTTCGAGACCAGCATGGTCCACACAGTGAGTTCCAGGACAGGCTCCAAAGCTGCACAGAGAAACCCTGTCTCGGGAAAAAAAAAAAAAAAAAAAAAAAAGAGTAGTTGCAGAGCGTACCCATTGTTCTTACCTCGCTTCATAACATAGTATCTTTGAGGTTGTTCTTGTACCGGAAGGTCTGAATAATACCATGAGTTTTTATTTTGTTTTGTTTTGTTTTTTGAGACAGGGTCTCTCTATTATGCAGTTCTGGATGTCCTGGAACTCTGTCTGTAGACTAGGCTGGCTTAGAACTCACAGAGATTCTCTTGCCTCAGCCTCCCAAGTGTTGAGGTTAAAGGCATTCGCCAACACGCTCCACTTACTTTATTTTTTTTTAGTCAAGATCTTGCTGTTTAGCTCAGGTTGTCCTGAAACTTTACCAGTCCTTCTCCTCTACGTCCCAGATGCTAGGATTACGAGAGTTGACCGAGTTTCCCCCTACCACAACTTTGTACCAGCACAGCTACATTTTTTGAGACTTGAAGAAATGGGAGTAGAATGTTCTCCATTGTCAGTTGTTTTCCAAAAGCACTCCTTCAGTGAAAGAATAATGTTCTGCTAGTGTCTAGTCTTGTCTTAAGTCCATTTGTAGAAGACATTTTTGAAAAAAGTCATTGGCACCTACTTCTACTTGTCTACTAGTATAAGATGGACTTTTAGCATATTGTAGTGAATTGTTACGAGATAACCAGGCTTCCTAATACACTCTAAAGAGCATTCATTGGTGGTATAAGGTGTTCTGCTGCCTGAATGCAAGTTTGAAAAACAGACCTTTGTTGTTGTTTTTCTTAAGAGATTTATTTTATTTTACGTGTATGGGTGTTTTGCTTGTGTGTGTATCTGTGGACCACATACATGTGTGCGGTGCTGGTGGAGGCTCTAGGGTGTTGAATCTAGAACTAGAATTACAGATGGTTGTAAACCACCATGTGGGTGCTGGGAATCAAACCCAGGTCTTCTGGAAGAGCAACCAGTACACTCAACTGCTGGACCATCTCCAGCCTCATGCACCATACTTTTGAGCCAAGGAAATGGTATGAAGGTGTTTGGAAACAGTGACTAAAGCCAGAGAATTGCAAAATGGAGGGATGGGATATGAGGCTTGAAAAACTGACAAAGTAACTAGTTATCCAACTATGGTTACACTTGAGAGAAATCATAAGAATACTAATAGCAAAGGAAACGTGGTGGATTATGCTTTAATAAAGTTAATCTAATTGTGGTATTGAAGGGGAAAGAGCTGACACTGATCTGATATTCCTACTCCCAAGTAATGGAACATCAGCACACACACATCTTTCAATGTGGGCTGATTTAGTGACTGGTTCTTTCTAATACAGTATTGAAAAGGTGATAGGATGTCAAGCCTGACATGGTACTTGTTATCCTGGGGCAAGAGAATTGCAATGAATTCTAGGCCATTCTGAGCTACAGAGCAATACTCTTAGTGTCATTTTTGAAACTAGACCCCTGATTATTCTCTTGTGTATAGTTTTTCTCTTTACAACTCCCTTTTATTCATTCCTGTGTAAGGCAGCCCTCGTGAAAGGGAAGCCGGATGCCATGTTCTGAGGCTGCTTTGGCAACCAGCTAGTAAACAACACTTGAAGTTGGAAGTAGCGCTTTCTTGGCAGACACATGAGAGACTCCAAGCCAGAACCATCCAGCTGTGCTGTTCCCTGCTTCCTTACAAAAACTGAGTAAGTTTTTGTTAATTTTAGCTGTCCCACTAGAGTGATTTGTTCTCTATCAATAGATATTTGATAGAAATTTATAGTCCTTAGTTTATAGTCCTTTTGGCTTTAAGCCCACTTACAAAATCAGCTATGTGACTTTGAATCTTTGTACCTCACATTCACCAGGTTTTACCACAAACTCATTCTCGTCTCCTAAACCTGCTTCTCTTCTCGTATTTCCTTCTCAGTACTGGGTACTGCTAAGACAAATATGAGAATTATATCTCGCTCTTTTCACTTCACTCCTAAGTGTGATGGGTAATAGTTTGCTGTGTGGGTTTGGTGGCTCACATCACTAATATCAGCACTTGGAATTATAGAATTGGGAATTTCAAGGTAGGCCTCAGCTACCTGGAGTGTTTAAGGCCAATTAGAGCTACACAAAACCCGTCTCAAAACAAAAGAAAATAAAACCTTGGAGGTAGATGGAAACCTAGATTATTCTCAAATTCCTGTGCCTCAATTGCTGGACAAATGGATGGTGTTAATAAAATTTGAAAATGAAAATTAAAGGGAACAGATTGGGAGGTTGTCTGAATGGATTCTTGTTACTGGTGAGGTGGTGACTCAGCAGGTACAAGTAATTGCCATCAAGCCTGGAAACCTCTGTGACCCAAGGAACCCATATCATGAAAGGAGAAACCAGATTCCTGCGGGTTGTCCTCTGATTGCCACGTGTGAGCTCTAGCACATGAGCCGTGGCACGGGTGTGCCCACATGAATGCACACCCATAAGAAAATGCAATAAAAATAACTTTAAAAATATTATTTTTCACTATTTCAAGTTTAAAGTTCCAGTGATATATCTAAGTAATTCTGGGATGTGGAGAAAAATGTTTCTGAGGGGGCTGGAGAGATGGCTCAGCAGTTAAGAGCACTGGCTGCTCTTCCAGAGGTCCTGAGTTCAGTTCCCAGCAACCACATGGTGGCTCACAACCATCTGTAATGAGATCTGGTGCCCTCTTCTGGTGTGCAGGCATGCATGCAGACAGAACACTATATACATAATAAATAAATTAAATCTTAAAAAAATGTTTCTGAGGAAAACAAAAGGAACTTAGCAGTCATCGTCATAGGGAAGGTGACAGCTCTGGAAATAGATAAATTTGCAAGTAGTACAGAGCAAAAACAGAGCCATAAAAAAATCTTTCATTGTGGATTAGGAGGAAAAAGAATCAAGGAACAGAAATATTTGAAAACAACCAGGTGGTGGTGACATACACCTTTATTCCCGGTATTCAGGAGGCAGAGGCAGACAAATCTCTGAATTCCAGGACAGGATGATCTACAAAGAGAAACCCTGTCTTGAAAAATGGGGTTGGAGAGGAAAGAAAAGAAAATGGCCGGGGGACCCAAGCATAAGAATGTGTCATGTTTCTAGAAGGCAGTGAGGTACCAGTCTACAAACTGGATGCTACCCTTGGTCTTGCTGGTGACAAGAGCACCATTGACATCTTTGGGAACCACATGACCATGGTACAGCAGGCAGCAAGCTATGTATTTACCATGGCAAGGGTCACATTTCACCATCTAGTTGGTTGGCTCAAAGCAGGCATTGGTGATCTCTGCTACAGAAAACTGCTCATGGTAGGCTTTCTCAGTAGAGATGGTAGGGGTATATGTGGACAGAGGGAAGTGGATGCCAGGGTATGGCACCAGGTTGTCTGAAATTCTGTCAGATCAACATTCAGAGCTCCATCAAATCTGAGGGAAGCAATGATGGAAGACACAAGCTGACTGGCTAATAAGGTGGTTAAGGTAAGTGTAGGTGGGGTGCTCAATGTCGAGGTTTTTAGGACAGATGCCATAAATGGCCTTGTCTACCATGAAGGCACAATCAGAGGGCTCCAGGGTGGTGTGGGTGGTGAGGATGAAATTATAAGGCTCAGCCACAGCAGTGGAAACCTCGGGGGCTGGGGAGATAGAGAACTCCAGCTTGTAATCAACAGAGAGCCGCTCCATCTGCAGGGAGGTGAACCCAGAGCCAGTTCCCTCGCCAAAACTGGAAAACCAAGAAGCCCCGAAGACCAGTGCACTGGTCAGCCAGTAAGCGAATTCGGTCCAAGACGACAAGGTCAATGCTCTCCTTGCCACTGGTGTAATGGCCGCAAGCATCTTTCTTGCCTGTGATGAGCTGCTCAGGGTGGGGAGAGCTGGCAGTAGGTACCACTATGAACTTCATCAATAACTGTGGGTTCCAGGGCTATGAACACTGCCTGCTGGGGTACATGCTTGCCAGCGCCTGTCTCACTGAAGGAGTTGAAGGAGTCATCTCCTCCCAGTGGTCTTGTCACTTGGCCTCTGGTTGTTAGGCTGGATGCCTAGGTCCAGGCAGTAGAGTTCCCGACAGGCATTGCTGATCTGGACACCGCCCTGACCAGCTTGGCTGGAGATGCACTCATACATGGTAGCTACAGGTTAGAAGTTGAGGGTGACAGAAGCAGACACCGGTCCAACAGGTAGGTAACGCAACGAGGCTATTTGCTAGTTTTTATAGCTCCTTTTTCAGGATAGGTAAGACTTTCCCACCAGCTCAGTAACAGCTAATGTGGTTACTAATGGAGATCATTCCCTGATTCAGCCTTCCCTACTTTTTGAGGTCCGATAAAGGCCTTCATGGCCAAAGTTTCTCAAGGAGCAGCTAAAACTATGGGAATACATGGAAATTATACTGTGTCTATAGGTCACAGAGTTTAGGACAGGTAGAAAGAAATAACAGAACTATTAAAGAAACAGTAATTAAATTGTGGGGAGAAACTGGCAAAGGGGTGGACACAATTTCTCCCGACTGTTTGTTTTAGGATCAGATCCAGCCCCTACCATGACAAGCGGATACCATTTGAAATGTTTGGCCAACCACCTCCTTATTCCTGTCAAGGGAAGGCCACAGATTATTGAACTGTCTAATCATCCCTTCCTCAAGTCCTTACAGGCACCATAGCAGACAACTAGAGACACTCAGAGTCATCTATCACACCCACGGCCTGCACCACCCTTGACTGAACCAGCACACAGGTTTCCGACCTGGGGACTTGGTGTGGGTCTGCCACTTACCTGGCAAGACTCCGGGACCTTCCTAGAAGGGACGGTATCCTGGGATCCTGACATTGCCGGGGGCCGTCAAGGTAGTGGGGACTGCAGCTTATAGCCACACTCCCATCTAAAGGTGGACACAACCAGCCACGAGAAAGTTGACAAATGGAAGGTAATACAAACTCCAGGTGTCCTCTCAGGGTGCGGCTCATCTCACCTTGAACTCAGACTGACACTAACGTTGGGGATCTTGGTAGGTCACTCCCATATGTGGCCAAATAAAAGTGTTGAAGTCTGGGATTGGGAACTGTCTCCAAATGCAGATAGGAAAGTAAGAGGCGTTTTCCGGAATGCCACCTCCCAACCTATGTTTAGATCCGACCTGTGCGATGTCTTGGATAACAGTGAACTTATGGGCGAATGGGAGAGTTACAGTGCAGTTCACCCAGGGTGGGGGACCAAAATGCCAGAAACATCCTTCTGGTCTTCACCATTGTATGCATGCCCAAGCCCATGTTTTATTGCCATAAATTTATGTCATTTTATTTATTCATTCATTCATTTATTTATTTATTGTCATTCGTGGAAAAGAGATTATCATTGCTCTACCCCAGGCTGTGAGACTGAGTCTGACCAGGGCGGACATGAAGACCAGTTTATCTCCAGTCAACAGGTATATCCTTCTCAGGATTTGCAGACCCGGGACCTGCAACCCCTTCACTTTAAAGATCATGACCTGGAATGAATTGAGCTCAAAATACTGGCTTCCAGGCCGGACCTGGGGATTTGTGCTTAAATTTAAGAAAACTAAGAAACAGTCCTGGTATAGAATTCACTCTACGGAAAAGGGTACCATCCCACCTAGCCAATCCTGTAGGCCCTGGAAGGAACTGGCTGCCTCTACCAGGGACTGGTTGTCTCCTTTCTCTGTCCTCCCTTCTTAGGCCACTCCACCCATGGTAGTAAATGAATCCACAATCACAATCAAGGGGCTACAGTAACAGACTCAGTCTCAGCCCTGCTGCAGAATGGACTTCAAGTTTTATCCCCTGATGATGCCCCTGAGCTCAAGACCTTGAAGTTACTGCATAAGTGGATAAATTATACACACCCCAGCCTGGGAAGAGATTGTTAGCTTTGTCTAGGTCCCAGGCCTCCTTTTTATATGGGTGTAGGGGTCAGTCAGTCTCTCTATTATCTCAGCTACTACCCTACCAGAGAATTTAAATTGTAAACAGAAAGGAGCTAAACTCATCCTGGGAGATTTCTAAGGAACAGGTACTCGGTGAATCTCTTCCACTTAGAATTACCCAGCTTCCCTTTATAGCCAAGCCTGTAATACTCTACAGTACGCCAGCTGGTCAGAACTTATTAGAATGTACTTCCCATCCCCTTTAAGAACATAGTGGGCCTGTACATTCGAGCTACAAATCCACAGAAAAATTAAGTAATTGCCTTTTAAAAACCCTTCCTTCAATCCGTTTTTGGGTGGTATGCCTTTGATTTGGCTTTAAGACTGTCAACCTGCTAGCAATTTAAATAAACTGATCTAATTATACTCTGGATTGAGTCTGTGGTCCTTTCCTGCTGTCTCAAACTCTGTAACAGCCCAGCCTGTACTCTCAGGCCTTTTTTTTTTTCTCTCTCTCTCAGGTCTTAATCCTTGTGTGGCAATGGTTTTAAAATTCTGGGCTTTCTGTAGTGAAATTCTTTAAAATATTTGTTTTTCCTGGCCGCTCACAATCTGGTTCTATTTTTGTGTTGGGGTCCCAGTTGTTAAGACAGGGTTTCCTGTAATGCAGGCTGCCTCAGAATCTGGTCTGGGTTACCTGAGGCTAACTTGGAACTACTGATCTTCTGTTTCTACCTTCCAACTACTAGGATAGGGGCTGATGGCACTGTGTCCAGAGAGCTGTTGAATTTGAAACTGTTCTCATGGTTCCAAGGAATATTCCCCCCCAGGACAGGGTTTCTGTGTAACCTTCCTGGAGGTCGTCGAACTCTTTGTAGACCAGTTTGGCCTTGAACTCACAGAGATCTGCCTGCCTCTCCCTCCCAAGTGCTGGGAATAAAGGGGTGCACCACCACTGCCCGGCCCCCAAGGAACTTTTTAACCCTTTAAATTTTTATGCCTGTTAGGAGGACTATTGGGTTTGGTGGTGGTGGTGGTTTTTTGAGACAGTTTCTTTTTGTAGCCCTTGCTGTCCTGGAATCCACTCTGAGATCCCCCTGCCTCTGCCTCCTGAGTGCTTGGACTAGAGGGGTATGGTACCACCAACCCTCAGGAGAACTAGTTTTTTCTTTTTAAAAAAAAAAAAAAATATTTATTTAATGTCTATGAGTCTCTGTCTGCACGTATGACTTTATGCCAAAAGAGGGCATCAGATCCCACTAGAGGTGGTTGTGAGCCACCATGTGCTCGAACTCAGGACCTCTGGAAGAGCTGCCAGTCCTCTTTAACTGCTGAACCATCTCTCCAGCCTCAAGAGAACTATTTTGAAGTCTGAGCAATAATCTACTGCTTTTTTGTTGTTGTTTTTGTTTTTTTTGTTGTGGTGTAACTTTTTGATTTATTAAGGGAAGCTGCGCCCTGCGGGGCCCCCCCCCCCAGTTAATATTTTAGGACAAACTAAAAACATAAAATTTATTCATGTTTTTAAATTAACTCAAAGTAATCTTAGGGAAGCACTTCATTGAAGACTAAATAACTTAAATTTATTTATTTATTTGTTTGTTTTTGATTCTAGAATATAACCCAAGCCTCTTCCTTGGTAGGCAGTCACTTTACCAGCTGAGCTTTCATGGGGGCAAAGACCCCAAGGACCACTTGTCAAAACTTGAGTCTGAATTTGAGAATCCTTATTAAGTCAGCCATCAGCTGTTTGGAGAGAAACAGTTCTCACAGAGAACTGTTTTTGTTTTGTTTGTGCTTTTGAGACAGTGTTTCTTTGTGTAGCCCTGACTGTCTTGGAATTCACATTGTAGACCAGGCTGGTTTTTTTTTTTTAAGATTTATTTATTATGTATACAGTGTTCTGTCTGCATGTATGCCTGCAAACCAGAAGAGGGCAACAGATCTCATTAGGGATGGTTGTGAGCCACCATGTGGTCGCTGTGAATTGAACTCAGGACCTCTGGAAGGGCAGCCAGTTCTCTTAACCATTGAGCCATCTTTCCAGCCCCAGGCCGGTCTTGAACTCAGAAATTTGCTTGGCTCTGCTTCCTGAGTGCTGTGATTAAAGGCATTTCCCCACTACGCTGGCCTCTGCAGGGAGCTTTTAAAGGCAAAAAAACGTACCCTGGTTGGCAGCTGCAGATGTAGAGCAAGCAAGCAGTTTAACAGAAGAAAAAGCTGCAGTTACCTGGAGCATCTTGACCTCAAGCTCCTGGGACGGGGTTAGGTCATTTTCTAAGGGATTTTCCCATAGGAAGGGTAATATAAGTGGAAGGGGTGGTGGTCAACACTGAGTCAGGCCTAGATGGCTGCAGTGGGGACGAGGGAGGAACCTTGGCCCCACCACAACCACAGCCCTACAATCCATTCTCGTTCTTTCTCTCCCCGTCTCCCTCCTTCCTTTCCCCTCTTCCTCCCACCTTCTCTCAGTGTCTTACTGTTGTCCTGGCTGGCCTGGAACTCACTGTATAGACATGGTTGGCTTCAAACTCAAGAGATTTGCCTGCCCCTGGGGTGCCATAACATTTTCTTCAATTGATGTTTCTTCTACCTTTTCTTTCAGAATTTTTTATTTAGTCCCAGCACTTGGTAGGTGGAAGCAGGAGGATCACTACGTAGACAAATGAAACATAAGACTTACCTCAAAAAGTCAAAAACATAGCTGGATGTGGTGGCACATGTGGTTAATTCCAGCACTTAGAAGGCAGGGGTAGGTAGATCTCTGAGTTCGAGTCTAGCCTGGTCTCCATAGTGAGTTCCAGAACTACATAGACCCTGTCTCAAGAAACCAAAACAAAAAACAAATGCAAAAAAACCCCAAAAACCAAAAAAACTATGAGTTCCAGAGCTACATAGACCCTGTCTCAAGAAACCAAAACAAAAAACAAATGCAAAAAAAACCCAAAAACCAAAAAAAAAAACTATGAGTTCCAGAGCTACATAGACCCTGTCTCAAGAAACCAAAACAAAAAACAAATGCAAAAAAACCTATCAAGCACGAGATACTACACAAACTCTTTATCCATATAATATGGTATTATTTCTGCTATTGAAAATAATGAAGTTTGGAGCCGGGTGGTGGTGGCACACGCCTTTAATCCCACCATTCAGGAGGCAGAGGCAGGTGAATTTCTGTGAGTTCGAGGTCAGCCTAGTCTACATGGTGAGTTCCAGGACAGCCTGGGCTACACAGAAATCCTGTCCCGATAGGCTGAAAAAAGAAAAAATAATGGAGTTTGGACCAGTGATAAGGCAGTGCACCCACTACCTATTTTGTGGCTTGACTTCTTTCCCACTTAGTGGGAGAAGAAAACTGACTTGCTAGCAAGTGGTCCTCTCACCTCTGCATTTGTGCCATGAGATGTTTATCAAGCTCCTCATATAAAACACAATTTAAAAAGAAAATAATGAAGTTTTAAAATTAAAATAGTAATTGAGTTCCAAATTACACATATTTATTAAAGAATCCTGTAGCCGGGCGGTGTTGATACACACTCTTAATTGCAGGCGGATCTCTGTGAGATCAAGGCTAGCCTGGTTTACAGTGTGAGTTCTAGGACAGCTAGGACTACACAGAGAAACCCTGTCTTAAAAAACAAAAAGGATACTATAGTGAAAATAGAGTTGCATGCATGCTCAGTGTCTTGTTTGTTTTTGGTTGCGTGTGTTTGTGTGTTTGAGACAGGGTTTCTCCGTGTAGTTTTGGTGCCTGTCCTGGTTCTTGCGATGTAGACCAGGCTGGCCTTGAACTCACAGAGATTCACCTGTCTCTGCCTCCTGAGTGCTGGGATTAAAGGCGTGCGCCACCACCGCCCAGCCTCGGTGTTTAAATAGGTGCCTGGGATCTGAACTCAGGTTTTGTACTTGTGAAGTACATGAATTATTCCTTAAAAATACATGGACTAGGATGTAATCCTGGTAGAGTATCTACCAGTCGTGGTAGTGCCTAGTCTGCACTGCAGAATACAGACGATAAAATATTTGGGGAAGAAATCAGTGCAGTTAGGGTGGATTTGGAGGAACTCTCTGTGGTGGTATGTGTCTGTAGTCCTGGTATTTGGGAGGCTGAGGCTAGCCCAAGCTACAGAGAAGTTGTTTCAACCATCCAGTTACCTCAGCCTCATACACGAACTGAGATTAGAGGTGCAGTGACTTGTTCAGCTACAATGCTGCCCCTCCTAATCCCCCATCTATCTGTCTTGTTTTTTGAGACCAAGTTTCTCTGTGTAGACCCGGACATCCTATAACTCACTCTGTTGACTAGACTGGCCTCAAACTCAGATCTGCCTGCCTCTGCCTCCTGAGTGCTAGGATTAAGGTCCCGAGCCACCACGCCCAGCACTGCAGTAGGCATTTCTATATGGAACAATCTGGCAGCTTTTGTAAATACCATTTCCTTCATAGTAAACATAGAAAGCAGACTTTAAAGTCATTTCAAGTTCAGGTCTCACTAAATACTATGAAGAATCTAAAGTTGGTTCTTTCTAAAGATTGACCGAGATGATTCTTTGACCATGAATTTTATTGTGTGTGTGTGTGTGTGCATGCACATGCACAGGCACGCCTTTTCCCACGTGCCTGCCCATGTGAGCATACACTTATCACTCATACACATAAAGAAGTAAGCTCTTCGTGGTAGTGTACACCTTTAACCCCAGCACTTGGTAGGCAGAGGTAGTCTGAACTCTATGAATTCCAGACCAGCCTGGTCTACAAAGGGAGTTCCAGGACAGCCAGGGCTGTTACATAGAGAAACACTGTTTCAAAAAACAAAAAATTAGTAAGGAAGCTCCAAATGTTGGAGAAAAATCCCAAGTGTCGAAAGAAGTGTACTTAGAAAAGAGAAAAAGACAAGTTATACTTTGCTGAATTATTCAGAAAAGCAGGCCAATTTAAACAAGCTGCATGACTGCAACCTAGTAAGCTACTCCTCAGTAGCAGTTTGATGTGGGGTCTCTGCAAAAACTAGGGTCAACAGAGTCATGATCCATAGGAGGCAAGAAGGAAATCTAGTTCAACGTGACTCAGTAGCCAGTATTGGTTCAAACTTCTAGAGACTGGCACCAGTCCATTTACTTTAGGCATATTTGAATACAGTACCATTTGGAAAAAAGTTTCCTGGTGTAACACAACCCCATGTGCACAGGGTTTTTTTTGTTGTTATTTTTTTGGTTTTTTGAGACAGGGTTTCTCCTTGTAGCTTTGCGCCTTTCCTAGAACTCGCTTTGGAGACCAGGCTGGCCTTGAACTCACAGAGATCCGCCTGCCTCTGCCTCCCGAGTGCTGGGATTAAAGGTGTGCGCCACCACCGCCCGGGAGGAAGCATAATTTGAAACTCTTCTCAAAGTACACTTCACTTCTTCCATGAAGGTGGGTTCTAGAGATGGGC